CTCTTAATAAAACGTTGTATTTCAAAATTTCTTATCCGATCGCGTCATATTTAATTATTTCCGTGGACTCTAAAAACTAATGAGTAAATATTTAACAGACAGTCCGTTGTGAATGAATAATCTCGATTTCTCTCAGCGTCGAGTTAATGTAGTTATTGCAAGAATGTAATCAAATTCTTTACATAATAAAATAATCAGCACTAGAACAATTCACCGATGTCTGAAACGTCCGATTTTTTTCAAGTTATATTTCGATCTGGAGAAAAAAATAAAAGATCAACGACGTTCGATTCGATAGGATTAAAGGGATTTTATTTTGCTCCTGTTACAGGCACGTGTTAAAATAATTTCGCAAAGTTCGCGTTAGGTTTGTCGTAGCTTTCACCTTTCGCGCAAGGAGCAACAAACGAATGACTTCGGTAAAGTGGACGCGCGAGATCTGTCATTATCTCGACGATGATTGCACTTCGTCGCGACTTCGTGACGGGTATTAGAATAGAATCTGGATGAAAGCTGACGGATTTGAAAGGTAATTCGCGCGATCAAAGAGACTGCAGTTGTAAATAATGATGATAGAATAGTAGTTTCAATTGTGATCGATAATTCGTCGTTGCGCGCTGATAAATCGTATCGCTTTGGGGACAAATGATAATAGTCATTAAAATGATAATCTTATTATTAGTTTGTGTCTTTAGATAGTAATGATTAGTTTCCTTCTTCTACAAGTTTGCTAATAATGCACATGATAAGAGAGCGGTGATAACTGAAAGTGAGCTGACGACGGTCGTAAAAATTGGAAAACCTAATCGGGAGATCTTCGCCATGTCACAATCCGGGAAATACGTTGTTTCTAATTGCAGGTGTCCGAATGTTCCAAGTCGGAGGGCCCGTCGTTATCGACCTCCCCCGGCTCCGACTTTCTCACCTCGCCGGCGCACCGGTCCGTGCCGCTGACCTCGCGGCATTTCTCGAGGACGTCTTCGAGGGCGTCCCAAAGTTCGCTCCAAAGTCCGAGCAAGAGCACGGGCACATCGCCGCCGAAGACCGGCAGCTCCAACTCCCTCAACAAGTTCCACAACCGGCTGGTCGACAAGCTGAAACGCTCGCTGAAGAAGGCGGACGACTGCGCGGAGGATCAGCGGAATCTATCGTGAAACATTCAGGGGGTTTTGGGCCGGCCGCCCGCGTCCGGCTCGAAACCGATCGAGATCCGACGCACTTCGGCACCCGCTACCACATCCGAGTCGAGCAGCAAAGTGGCGGCACGCTCGTGTCCGGATCCACCTTCAGCTTGGTAGGGAAGAAAGAGAAAGGAGGAAGAGATAATAATGACGGAGGAAACGGAGAGTAACGGGGAATGTGTGCGAATGTGAGGGAGAAAGAGAGACAGAGAGGAGAAGATGCACGAACGTACGGCAGAAGGGAGCGAGTTCGCATATGTTCAGCTCGAAAGCGAGCACGCTCAAGTTTGTTAGCCCAGCATGGACGAGGAAGAGGAGGCAGAGCGGAGGAGATGGTTGAACGATCCTCGAGCCGTTGTTCGGCTCGCTGGATGTCGATCGTGTCAAGAATCCTCGCGGGTCGAGAGACCTCGATCGAGCGATCAGGCGATGGCAACTTCGCGGCGAGCACTCGAGAGGACGAAGAGAGCTGCTTGGGACGAGTCCTCTGGATCGCAACTTCTTTGAGCATCCAGTTTCGTGACAACGTCGTTACGGAGGCCAAACACTATCAACTAGCCAATACAGCGCCAAGATCTCGCGTTTTCTCCTGGATAAACGTTTGAGAATCTGTTTAAGATGGCGAGGGAAAGAATGGGGAAGGCGAAAGAAGAGGAGCAAGGAGGACGGAAGGATCGCGACCGATCGGTCGATCGAGGATTTCGGGGAATCGTCGGAGATGATCGAAAGTCGAGGGACAATCGCAAAGGACGAAGGAGTCGGCGGAAGGAAGCGAGGTACATACTAATAAAACAAGGATTACGTATCGAGATCGCGCGAATCGCGAGTGTTCTCGCACGTTGAATGTCGCGGGCTCGCTCCGCGGTTAGTCGGTTTACGGGGAATAGTCATTTGAGTTGCCAGACCTAAATGTTAAGTTCCTTCATCGCGCGCGCGATCTCTGTCGTGCGCGTCGCGCTCTATACGTTGTTCTTTTCCTAACGTAGGACGATCGGGGACGAAGATCGAAGAGAGAAAGACATTCTGCGGGCGCGAGGGTGTTTCCGTGGAAGGAAATAATGCCGGGAGGACGTCGCGAAGATGCCCGAAAGACACTCTCTCTCTAATCTGGTGTACGAAATCTGATATTATAAACTGCTGTTAAAAACTGCTCTGACGTTTCAAATGTTCCTCCACAACCCCCAACTCTTTCGAGTATCTTTCAGGCATCCTTTTGACGAGGATGCGCTTGCTGTCTCTTCGCTCGAACTATCCTCGCGTGGAGCACGTTGACCGTGGAAACAGAACCGCGTATCTCCAATCGTGTAACATCCAATTAACTTTCTCGCAACCTAGACTGAAAAGCGTTCTCTAATCAGTACGTCACGCGAAACCGTTCGAAGACGGAGGCCCCCGTGTGCTCTTGGCGCGCCGAGCGCGACTCCGCTCGGTTCCGGCTGCGTTATTTATTCGCTTAATTTAATACGTCGAGTATGCATTCGGAAACGAGGGCAGAGTCGCGGCGAGACGCGCGGTGGGAATACGGGCCAATGTGCAAGGAGAGAGAGTCGTTAGCGTAAAAAGCGACGCGAAAATGTCGTTTTTATCCTAGTGTCCAACAGCCGCAGCGAGGCTCATTCGTTGGTGTTGGGATTAGGTTCGAGTTTGCGTGCGCCGGAAGCAGCAAGTTTCTCGCCTTTGCGGGATCGGATTCCGTCGTGCGCAGAGGACGACGCGCGCGTACGTGCGCGCGTTAATTCGTGCCGCGCACGTGCGTACATCGGGTCGGATCACCGAACGTGCGAAGCCTAACAGAGCCGGTATTTGTTTTCGCGCGCGTACCTCCTGTCCGGCGTCGCAAAATTACATTAATTACATCAGCTGAACGCGTTTTGCTCTGCGCGGATCTCCGCGCGCTCCCCTTCGAGGAAACCTTCGCCGCGTGCAATCGCGGCGGAGCCACGAAGAGCGCCTTTCGCGCTGAACTGACGCGTCGAGTTGCATCAACGTTCGAAAAATAATCTCGAATAATGCGAGTGCCGTCGCACGGAAGAAAAAGATCGCATTTTTATGCGAATGCAAATTGACTCGAGACGTTTTGAAAGTTTTCCTCGGTGACTTTGATTGTTAATTTCGCGCGACTGTTTCTGTAAAGAAAATTAAAAATTATCACGACGCATATCAAGACCGAACGATACAGGTATACTGCTGTTTCCTCCACGTTACGCGGCGCACGATAGCGTTTAAGGTGCACGGTGCGGCCTATGGGGAAGCTGTGACAGATGCATCCGGTATCGTTAACGGCGCATTCCTCGGTGTATACGTGCGTCGCATTGTGCTACGAGGCGCGATTTCGTTTCGTAGATTTCCGCTCTCTTTTCAAATCGCACGCGGGCCGGGCGAAGAATATTTTTTTAAACGAATCGTCTCACTCGTCGCACGCCATCGAAGACGCAGGCAACGTTTGTTCCTCGCGCGCCCGAGTTACTCGTATTTGTTGTTTCGCGTCGTCGCTACAGAGCGCTTGTTAATTTTTTCACATGTAATATATAATATATATATATCTATGTAGTGTATTGTTTCGCGTTACAAGTCGAGTCGGTCGGCGAGGAGGAGGCGCGGGAGAGAAGAAGTGTGCCCTTTGCAGATTGCAAAGGACCTCGAGTGTTACGAGGAAGAAGTCGCTACTTCCGTCACGAGTGATTTCCCGTGGGAGATGCGTCTCCTTTTCTCCGACATCATGTCATTCCGAAAAAAAATTTTTTTACGCGATTTTAATAAGCGGGAAACGTTTCGTTTCTTTTGTGTGGATTAATTAAATAGAATGGAATACTTTTTCGGTAAAGTATCCTTATTTCGCTGTTTTTGTATTATCCTCAGGGATAATTACATGGTCCTATTTAATTGTAAAACTCATCGTAATGTAGAGAGAGAAATGTTTAACTAATGTGAAGTAACCTACATACACGCGATATTTCTTTTACTAGAATAGGAAAAGTAACATTCATTAGTGGAATTAACTAAAAGTAAGTTTGTAAATTAATGGTGAATAAGATTAAGGCGATAAAAATTAATAAGAAAAATGATGTTATAATTAATTAACGATGAAGAAAATCAAGAAGGCAAATGTCTTTAGTTGAAAATACAACAGGTATCGAGTAAAGCATATCAAGCGCAGGAGCTACTTTCGAAATTTAATTATTTTCAATTCAACTTTCTCAGTGATTAAGCGATAAAGTTACGTTCACGTTCTTGTCAGGGCCGTGGTTAACACTCGACGTTCTTCGCATTCGTTTACAAACGTTCCGGTTTTTTTTTCCTCACGACGGGCATAATTTGCATGCTTTCTTTCCATCTGTTGCGTATCGGCGATTACGAATTGGGAGCAATTAAGCGATGCCGCGTGTAACTCTGTGATACCGTAAGCTATAAGGTAGAATTACTCCGCAACGATTAACGGGTTAGAGGGGGAGGTGTAGTTAGGACGAGATTCGTGCGAACGTTTCGATTCTTCGTCGATCGCGGACCCGCGTTCCTCGAAAGTGACGATCGAGTTCTTCTTTTTGGTTGGGCTGAACAACACGAGGGTGCTTCAATAAGGGCGAGGGGGCGATACATTTTTTTCTCAGGAAAGAGAAGGGGCGTTGCTTCTGAATTTTTTCGAGAAAGACGAAGGAATTCTGGCGCACGAGCATTCGAAGTCGTTTACGTCCGTCTTAACGTGTATATAATATTAAGAGTCTGAACTCCGAAAGCGCCCATCGATTACATTTTGAAAAAAAAAGTTGTAAGAAAGTAATTTATTTTCCGTCAGAATCGCCGATTTGGAAGTGCGATCCGCACGGGCTTATTTCGTTTCGATATGAGAAGTGAAATCGCTCAAGTTCGTTATAATGAAGAAAGAGCAGATTGGCACGCATCGATTCGCGCTTTCGGACTCACGTCGGATTTAAGAGAAAGCTTAGTCGGTAGACGTCACGCGGAAAATTTTGAAAATTTGCGTAGCTCAACCTGCATTTCTCTCTTCGGGTGCAGACGACAGGGGGACGAAGATGAAGAAAAGGGGGAGAGGGAGAGAGAGAGAGAGAGGGAGACACGAAGAAAAAGAGAGAGAGAGGATTGTTTGCGAACGTCAGTGATAAAGCTGATTGGGGAATCATTTTGCGTGTGGAGGCATGTACCGAATAATTTCCAAAAGTTGCCGCTTTATGTAAGACTGCTTTAGTGAAACAAAAAAAAAGAACGCGGAGACGAAAAATATAAATATCGATAAGTATAAGGCAATGCGCCGTGGTGCTGGGCGGAGCTTTGAGACGCGCGATGTCCGACGGGATCGTATTAAAAATCCACCTCGCACTTTTATATGTATATTACATATTGCAGATATATATATAATATATTTATATATAGTATTATGCCTTCCGCGGGAGTTTCCGTAATGTCTTGAGTTTATGTTTAAATTGCTAGCTGCGACTCTTTAAGTTTGAAACTTCGTGGCTACTTGAATTTATAGGAAACTCGACGGTTCAAATTTGATGACATTTCGTTGCTTATATATCTTTTATCTAGGTATATATTTCATTTTTCACTACCATTCGGTATCTTAACATTTATTTCTCATGACTCGGTATGCCATTCGGTGCGAGCTGGACGTCGGCGATCCGACCTCGCGTTCCCAAGGTTTCACCCGTTGATTCGTACTGATTAGAAAAATGGTGTTACTAGACTTTAGATATTAATGAGATATAAAATATATACGATTCATTACGGCGGCCTCGGACCGCGGAGTAAACGTGGATTGGGACTTTTCTCCGTTCCTTCTCGATGAAAATGTTAATTAAATTTCCCATCGAACATGTATAATTCTCGCTTTGATTCAAATTGTTTACTTATTGAAAGAGACGTATTTTCGTTTAACGCCACGTATCTCGATCCACTTTCATTCTACGGTCGCAACGCGATTGCAAAGCTATACACGTGCAGAGATATATGTATACATATATATATGTATAAAGAGAGAGAGAAAGAGAGTAAATAATATATATGCATGCATACGCGTGATAAATGTATATGTATATATTATTTATTACGCGACGACTTGACTATTTTTTGTATTACTACTACTGTTTTATGGTTGTTTGTTATACTTCACTCGGGACATTTTGAGCGGATTTTTACCGCGTGTTTGAGGAGAAGCGCCAAGACCTTTGCGAGTTTACGGAGCGAGAAACGTCCACCCGCGTCTTTTCCTTCCTCTTCTGCAGCATCGATCATTTCGGTAAAGGTCAACGCGATCGTCGTATATTACTCCTGTCTATGCAATGTTTCAGAAAACAATTATTAATGGTCAGAGGAACGAACAGTAATATTTAAATTATTTGTCTTCATTTTTGAGATACTTCGTTAAACGAAAATTAATTCGTGCACCGAAAAGAAGATTCGTTTCTCGCAAAAGTAACACTCGCCGCCACGAAGCCCAGCGTCGTTACCGATCGCTTAGGTACTCTCTCCTCAGTCACGACGATTGAATATCACTGCCAAAAGCCCACGATTATGATAAAACAAAAAAAAAAGTAGTGTAGAGCGGCAGGGCCCGATCGGATTCCCCCATTCACGGTGGCGGCGCGCTCGGATCAAGCCGTCTCATCTGGTTCTCCCCTTCACTCATACACTATCTCTCTACAGTGACATATTTATTTTTCGACGGATCGCGGCTCTCGTCGTCGAAGGAGCCCGTTCGCTCTTCCCCTTTTTCCGTAGGACTTCGGCGCCGACGACGATACGCCGATTCGCGCCAACGATCGATTGCGAACTCTCGGAATCTACTCCGGTTTTCCCTGCGAGTTTTTCTTCGCATGCACACGGCAGCGAAATGATTGTAAAACAAGACAAAAGCAGTGTTAAGGGCGAATTGATATTTACAAAGCCGCGTGTCTAACATTTTTCCCCGGGCAAGTGAAACTATTGAAGATCCTCGCAGCAAGTCTTGATACCAAGTTAGAACGTAAGTTGGTAACGGTGGTTACCGCGGTGACTCCTGGACGTGTATAAGTATGTCCGTGCAAAAATCGGAAATCAATAGTAACCCTGTTCTTTACTGCTTATTGATTCGCACACTTTATTACCGGCTTTATTATTAACGCTGTTTCAATAAGGCTCTTTTTTTTTCGTGGAACACCCGTGTTCTCCGTGCCGATAACTGTTGACGATTGTCCCGTTTTGTTCTACGCGGGATGTAAATTTTGAGTTTGACGACTAGCTCGCTAGATTCGAGAGGCAGCGGCGTTGGCACGAAATCGAAATTCTGAAGAATCTTTCGCGAGGGTAGACGTAGTTTATCGTGTCGTCGTCGAGATTGCTAATTTATCCGTGAGTTTCTTAGTCGAAGATGCGAAAGCGAGAAGATTGGGTGCACATTCCATGCGTAATAATTATGCATACATGTATAAAGTAATCATCTATTAGAGTTTGATAAGGAGTTTACACGCAACAGAATACACACATACAACACATACAAACAAAAACACAGACGAAATAGGCGCGCGCGCGCACGCGCGCACCGTATCGCACTGGAAAATTATAAATGAATAATATATCTAAAGTTTTCGGAGCTTATCAATAGACCTCGGTTTATCATTATTATGTATCGTGATTTTTATGTCATGTTCAATAAATGAGTTAAACTGCTTACATTATTCCAATTTTTTATTTCAGGAACTACTTTGGCCCATATTCCTATCTTTATTCATACACGGAGAGATTTTTCTCTTAAAACACCGTGAAAATCATGTAATCGTGGGACAACATGGCATTTTGAAGAACTTTACGGGAGTTTTTTGATATTTTACTATTAAAATGTATACTAAATATAATTTACCAGTAAAATGTATGATAAAATTTCAAAAAACTCTCTTAAGATTCTTCAAAATGCCGCGTTGTGCCACGATTACATAATCTTCAAGATAAATTTTAACAAGAAATTGTTTTCGTGTAAGTATATATAAGGTACTGAGGTATATAAGCATATACACACTCACAGCATTATCGAAAATGAAGACGTGAATAAAGATATATGTATAATATGAGCACGGGAATTCAGAAATTAATGCGGTAAATTTTAATTAAAAAGTTCATTTTACGCAGGGAAATGAGATGTGTGAAATAAAGGATCGTAAGCATTGTTTATCGCAATTATATGGCTTTATGCAATACCATTAAAAACAACAGGAAACGGGCAATCTTTAATGATTAACCGGTGTACATGTAATATGCAATGTTCGAGCGTGTTACTCGATTACTCGATTCTTGAATTGATTCTTTTAATGAGAAGATTATGAAGCGTGACTTGCACTAGACAAGTAATACGATAATGAGGCAATGGTGAGGAAGAAAAAAACACTCTTGATATCAGCAGTAATATCGATAACTGATTCATTCGCGATGCACTCGAATGATGTGAGTCATCGTGTCGTTAAAGCAAGATTTTTTACTACTCCGGAAGTGATAATAAGAAACGAATGCGAAGACTCATCTCAGGTACGTATAGTTGCGACATAAGATGAAATAATCGTATAAAATTGGCCTTCATCTCCATCTTTTTACGAGATAATAAATTCTTAGGTTTTGATTTACAGCCTGGCGCGACTTCCTTTGGCGAAGATACAAAGTTTACTTAAATTTATACGATTTGGATGAAAATAATATCTGCCAGGGGGATTGTATTTCTTCGATGGTATTAGTTTAATTAATTTGTGAAAATAGCATATCGTGCATTCGCCTCCCATTTCTGCCATGATCAGGACCTGTGTCACTCGCGCACTACATTATCTTATTAATAGTCGCGCTTGCGTGATTCTCAATAATAAATTTACGCCACGAACTCGAATTTCAGTGTTGCGACACGCGATATTTTACGCAAGCGGTGGTTAACGACAAATTTATTGCCGCTGGAAACTATTCCGGCGTTTGTTTCGATTACCGTAAAATATACCTTTTAAATAACGTTCGCGCACACGTGTTATTCCCAATACAAATGGTTATTATTTCTCGCCTGGACGGTAATTTCTGGCCCAAGGATAATATAAGTGCTTTGAACTTGCTGTTATAATATTTATAAGACACCGGAAAGATTACGTCATCCGATGCAACTCCGTGAAAAGAAAGTTCGCGCTAGCGAATTAAGAGAAAGTACGCGACGCGGTAGTACCTATTTTTCGCTTTCATCTATCATTTAAAGGATCTCTTATATTAAATTTATATTTTTTTGAAAACGCAAGAAAAAGTACAAATATCAATATTATTTAAAGCATTGCATCAGTCTTTCATTTTTATCGTTATTATCGAATAAAAACAATTATAATTTTAATCCAACTCCAATTTTAGAGAAATGTTAAAAGGTTTATCAATATCTTAAGAGCATAAGTACCTCACATACACACACACACACAGTTGCATCAATAGATATCAATATCTACATTTTTATGCTACGGTCGAATTTTTCTGTTATATAATAATTAACGATTGAAAATAAGCTTCTAACGAATTAAACTTCAACAGTGGAAGTAGGTTACATCTCTTGGATCATATTATGCGAGCTTCAATCGATTGTTAAATTTAAGATTTGGAAAAATATATAACACTGAATAAAATTATGTAAACGCGCGGTATACTTATAGATTATCACGTTTTCGAGACAAGAAAAATGATCCTTTAAACGAAGACCGTAGAAATTGAATAATTATAAAAAGGGGTTCGGCGATTCTACAACACTCTGTATAAATCGTTCTTACTCTTAATCGGTTATTGTTCTTTGTGATTAAAATCTTTTGTTTCTATTCCGAGATAATAGAAAGACGTTGGCGTAGGCGAGATTACGCGCGGAAAAAAAGGAGAATACATAACACGTTCAACGTCACTTGCGCGACGCAATGAATGCGCAGTCATTGTAGAACGTCAGGTAAACTCGCTATGCTTTCGAATTGCGAAACGAACCGCGGTAATCTCTTATCGTCATAAACGGCGCATTCCTCGCGACACAATTCGCGGACGTTCCAGTTTATCGCGATCAGCGTCGTAGCTTCGCATTATTGACGATAAAGCACGTGGCGCAACGCGACCGAAATGTCTAAGATATTGGATCGAGATCATCGACGATGAAAGCTCGATGATGATGCAATTCGGATCGTGCTTTTCGCGCGTTCCGAAGTGCCGGGAATCATTAGCGAGCGTTAATTCGCGACGCGTTGCAAGATATCGCGTGACTATTGTGATAACGACACGCGTGAATACCATACGTTTTGTGTTACGCGCAAGTTACGGAACGATATCTTACACACCGGCGTGCATTCAATAAATCTGAATAAAGCCACGGTTGCGACAGAATTTCGAAACATTGAGATTTTTTTTAAAACACAGCATACCGTATTTAGCAGACAGTTTCGTCAGCGGCAAAATATTCGGAGTCGAAAATTGAAAACCTTGCGACGAATGCTGAGCTACCGTAAACTTTTCTTGAAAGAGAAGACAACGGGAAATTATCTGAGAATTTTTCTGGGTAGATTCTCGCGCGCGCGTGCGTGTACACGTTTCATTTTATTTCCAATTTTATTTGACGCGATCTTTGCATCGATTGCAACAACTGGTTCTATTTTAAGAACCGCGTTGTTGACAGCGAACAATTGAATATAATCGAAAGAGTTGATTTCCATGTTTATTGTGCAGAAGTAACTTTTGTATATAACTTCATGCGTGCAAACATTATTTTTTTTAAAAGGAACCTTTTGACAATTGTTCACTATATTTTCGTGCATAAAATAACAGGGACGGAAATTTTCAATCATGTTGTAAGGATTCTTAAAGATGAACACCTTTTACTCTCGTGCTCTTTTCCGTGATTTTGCCTTTTGTGGAATTAACGAGAAAAGGAACGTGATGATATATACCGCACCATTGCAACGTATATAGAATTGCTTACGCCAATGACTCCACGAATGGAGTTTTCCATCGCGAGAGGACTGGCGCCTACTGTGTCATTGTCTGAGTTATTCGCGGGAAATCTGCGTCTGCAAAAATAGAAACGTGTATACATATGCACGTACGTACATACGTATGTACGTACAAGCGATGAATAAGGAAAAAGCAAGAGGATGACGTGGAGTTAGCATGCGTGTCTTTATAGTTTGACAATCGGTTGTGCAAAATCTGCTCCGAATAAGACGTAACAGTATTTTCTCTGAATTGCAAATTCAATTTTATTTCCTAATCAGAATTTCGAAAATAGCATTTATTTATTGCAAATTAATTCTTGTCGTTCAATCTTTTAAGACAATTATGATTTCTTAAATGCGCGCGAGAAGTGAAAAAAGTCTCTTGCTAAAAAATTGTTAAAATGATTTGCAGGTAAGCATAGAATTGTCTGTAGATATATTAATAATGTAAACGAGAAAATAACTTTTAATTGTGCTTTTCACGCTGAACGAACGATAATTCAGTTTTTAACATTGAATTACTTCTTAAAATTGACGCAAATCTTGTCGAGTACCAAACACTGAAAATAAAATTACGTAGTTTCCAAGTAATCGATCTAAATCATTAGTCGCGATACATTTATCATGTCTGGAGAGCTTTTTTCCATCTCATTTTCTAGAAAGTCAATCAAATCGAAGTGTTGCTATCTCAAGATATAATTTAGTAGAAGGAGGGACTTTTTCGCCCACATCTAATCAATCTGCGAGAAAGAAAACGATAAGAACGCCAGTATTGCTCTTCCGAGATAGATGACGAATGCGTTTGAAGGACACTCGCGCCGGTTGCTCGGTAATCTCGAGCGGAGTGTTGCTCCTCGTCTGAGGCCTGGTATCCGCCAGCGGGAAGTTCATCAAGGTGCACGGACACCCACGTCCGCTTATCAAATCTCATTCTCGAGCGCGCCCATTCAGCCCCCGCATCTAGCGTGTATCATATCGCGGACCGACACCTACGCTCGGGGCTCCACTTGCACTCGCGTGGCGTCCTGCTCGTCCCGCTCGTCCCTCGCTGCGAATAATCCGTCCTTCCTGCGTGTATCCTGCACTACAAATGCCCCCGATACGACCGGGCACGTTCTGATACATTCGCACATCCGGGGGTGTTTTGTCTGACGCAACTGTACATTTGCGCAGAGAACTTACGTATCGGCATTGTTGTTATCGATGTTATCTCTCATTTTTAATCGGTAAAATAACGCGATTCACGATTATCACGTAACTTGACGTTTGACGAGAAAGTTGATTTACGATGCGAAATTTTTTCCTATCTAATTACAGCGCTCTCCTACTTGCATTTTCCCGCAGTCTCGAAATGCGTCGCATTTTCGAATAAACAGATTTAGCCTTGGGGGCGCGTCCTTGACCAGGGGCTATATTCAGTTGCGACAGTTGTAACCACAAGTAATCACTACTACTACTAAGACGCGACATCGCGAGGAAACTTGGATTCGTCGTAGAAAGGAGGAAATCAACGAACGAACATGAAATTATTTTATTAACCTGGAAACTCATGGATTATATTTTTCATCTCAAATGCCTAATGCACGCCTGGCTACGAAATTTTGCGTTTCGTATGCAAAACGTGCAGTAATTAAATAAAAAAACAATAAGTAAGGTTCTACGACTATACAGTAACTTGGTGCATACATCCTCGAAAAGTTAATTAGAGTGGAAGATTTTAACTTGAAATTATCCTTTACACGCGCGCGGATATCTGACTGTTCTGATCTGATTTGGATGATTTAACATTCCTTCCTAAATTAAAATTCTCAGTCGGGGCCACGTGGCTCGCGTTTGCAATCTCCCAGCTTACTCGCGTGGCCCGTACGTTAAAATCGCACATCGGATGCTTCGGTCGCAAATATCTCGCGCAGTATTTAAAAATGAAATGAATTCAGGTCGGTGGACCTTCTGGGGCCGGCGGGGAAATAGGAACGCCGATCAATAACGCTCGTACGTCGTTACTATTTCCGATTCGTCGCGAGTTATTCATAGCCAACTGCCGTTTATCCGCGCATTAATTTGATTAACTCACGTAAATGGAGATCGACCAGGCGCGATAGCAAGGGTTCGCCCCGCGTGGGTGGCTACAAACGAGCCCACGACCAAGCAGGTACTTTCTGCGCTCGTCAATTAATTTACTACGTAAACATCGGTTCGCGTTTCAATATACATCCGCTAATCCGGTGTATCCGTTTTCAGGATTACAATTTTAGCTTCCAAGTAATTTTGTCTCCGAAGAATCGATCCGCCGTGAGAAACCGTTCTCCGAAGGAAAGAGAACAATTGGTCGCGGGCCGACTCTCTTTAAATTTGCGAGGTACCTGCCGGAGTCCGCCGGAACTCGCGGGTTGGCGAACTCGCGCGTTATAAATGCCGATGAACGCCTTTTGTCTCCGCAACGAGAGTAAACACTGATTACATAATGACAGATGTGTTTGCCGAGAAAGCTTTGCGGAATTAACTGATAGTCGATGATTTACTAGTCTCTTTCAAGGAAGCTTCCTCCCCCTCTTTCTCTCTCGGCGAAATTGATTATCTTTCGCGCGGGCCTCGAGGGTAGTCGTCGCGGTATCCTTCACAAAACTTTCCACTGCTGGCGACAGCCAGCTCCTTTTCCCCTGATCTTTCGCGCGCGCGTGCGCGCCAACGTCAATTATCTCATTGTAATGCATAACTCTACAACGTCCATTATGCGCGTTTACTCTTCTCCGGGTTATCGCCGAGGTCTATCGTGTGCCGAAGCCGCATATTTACGAGAAGCAGAAGCCGCACAGAATATACAGTGCACGTTCGTTTGTGGCGAGCTATTATTATTAATGATTGATGACTTAAGCGACGTAGCGGCCACTTTTTTTACGCGATGCTCGCTTAACCTACTTTTATTTATCTTTCTCATTGCCTGGATATCGCCTTTGCATTAAATGACGCGTTATAAGTATATTAATAAATGCAAATATCTCATTGCGGACTGTAATGTATAATGAAATGTGAAGCGTGGGAAAAGTTCAGAAATTTTACAGGGAAAAGTATTTCACAGATAAGATTAACACGATGTAATTTAAAAGTAATGGAATAAATCCGGAATGTAAGAATTAAGTGTGCGTTACATTGAAAAAGTATACGATATTACAACGTAAATGTACTGAATTCGTTAAAATGTAACGAACAATTAAAAAGGGATATAAATCTGACTGAGATTGTAACAGCAAGAGTATATGCTAATATTGTGGTTTCTTTTTGGACGAAGACGGTAGATCTCGCAGAGCTCAAAACTATCAGGCGGTATCACGGCAAATACCCCCGTGACACACGCGGTAAGAAGTACACGTGGAGACACTGTCTGACGAGACACAACCGCGAGGAATGCGGTAAGAAGGAGTGAAGTTAGCCCCTGTGAAGTTAGCCCCCATTATTAAAAATTTAATTTTTTTTAAAGTTCCCTATAGATTTACAATAGTTCCAGAGTTTTTGATGGGTTTAAAAAATATTTCTGGCCATTTAAGGCATAAAAATGAACTTCGAAAATATATGGGGAGCTAACTTCGCAGCCCTCCAATAAAAAAAAAAGATTTTTCGTTGGAGTTCTGGATAGATTTACGTAAGGAGGCTCAATTCGCGTGT